AGCACCCAGTACCTCCAACCTCCTCAACCACAGCTCCCAGTACCTCCAACCTCCTCAACCACAGCACCCAGTACCTCCAACCTCCTCAACCACAGCACCCAGTACCTCCAACCTCCTCAACCACAGCTCCCAGTACCTCCAACCTCCTCAACCACAGCTCCCAGTACCTCCAACCTCCTCAACCACAGCTCCCAGTACCTCCAACCTCCTCAACCACAGCTCCCAGTACCTCCAACCTCCTCAACCACAGCTCCCAGTACCTCCAACTTCCTCAACCACAGCACCCAGTACCTCCAACACCCGCTGACTAAGACTGGTTTAAACTCCAACCTACAACCCTAACCCTACATGTGAAGTTTAGTTTTAGTCAAGCTGCTCAATATTTGCACACCATTTTCTACTTGAACATTGCATATTGTGTCTATACTTTCATTAATAGTCATATATTTTGTAATATTTTATTTTGTGATTTCTTGTTGTACCTCCACTTCCACTCTTTCTTTTGCACTACATGTTTGAGCTAATAAGATAAGATCTCTGATCTCTGGACAACAATTTATATTTATTCACATATTATCATTTTAGTTCTCCACTATTGCTTCTTCTTGTGTGAGTTAAAACACATGTTCTTTGTAATAAAGAAAAATGTTATTAGTTATCAACATTTAAAGTTAAAATCAAACACATCTTTAATCACTGTGTTTATTTTATACCAGAAGCCTTAGCACTATAAAACACAGTAAGTTATATTAAATAAACTCTTTCATATTAATAACTAAATTTAGCAAATCAAATTCAAATTTAATAAGTACAAAAAGTGAAGTGCTTTGAATACTTTCTAAAGTTTACTGTATTTGTTCACATGGGCTAATTTTGTATTATAACTTTGTATTCACTCACACTGAATCTTCTCTTTCACTCTGATCTGACTCTGCACACTGAAGTATTTAATCTTATTTTATTTGACCACTGTGTTATTTACAGTAGTTGATTATTAAAAGAAAAGATGGTTTATGTTTTACTCTACTAAGATAAGATAAGATGTACCTTTATTGGTCAACTGTAGGAGTAACAGACACAGCAGCAAAGGATATGCAGTAAAATGGTGTGCAACTGTATATGTGCAACCAGTCTTAGTCTGTGGAGGTTGGAGGTACTGGGTGCTGTGGTTGTGGGGGTTGGAGGAACTGGAGCTTTGGCGTTGTGGAGTCTAATGGCAGATGGTACAAACGAGCCTCCAAACCGTTTTGAGGCTCAGGCCTTGATCAGTCTGTAGCTGAAGATGCTCCTGAGCTGCCTCAGCTCAGTGTAGAGAGGATGACAGGGGTTGTCCATTCCCTCTCATCCTCTTCTCAGTCACAGTCTCCACACTGTCCAGCTCCATCCCCACCACAGAGCTGGCCTTCCTCATCAGCTTGCTCAGCTTGTTGGCAACCCTAGTCTTGACGCCTCCCCCCCAACAAACCACCACAAAGAAGAGGACACTGGCCACTACAGACTGGTAGAACATCAGTGGTAGCCGAGTGCACACGTTGAATGACCTGAGCCTCCTCAGAAAGAACAGCCTGCTCTGACCCTTCCTGTAGAGAGCCTCAGTGTGGTCGAGGTGTGAATCGGGGTACCTGAGGAGGTGGAGGGGGATGTGGGTCAAACCAGTTGAAGAACAGGTTCACCTACTGACCTTTTCATGCCAGTAATGCTCCTCACGACCCCAGGCACCCCCTCAACCCATTTTTCACATTGCTCCCATCCAGCTGCAGATACAGATCACTGACCTGTAAATGAGCTCGCTGTGGAAGAAGTCTCGTCCCTTCTGCCATAGCTTTACTCAACACAACTCCCCGGTAGCCGTTATGTGTCAATACCAGAATATATGTACTAATGTGTTTAGATCTATATTGTGTTAATGTTGTGTGTATACGTATAAGATTATGTAGCAACATGAGCATTGCTGTAGTCAGGTAGGAAGCTTCAGTTTTATCAGATGAAGGGTTTATACAAAATATATTTGAATAATGTTGTAACATCAAAAACATTTGAGCAATCACAAAATACATAATCCATTAGTGATAATATGAAGGTCAATGTTCAAATGTTACTTTCACTTCCTTATCATTCTTTATATTCCTAGTAAACCATTCTGACCTGCAGGTTTATAATATCTATAAATTTAACAGCTGCAGTCAAACATAGAGCACTGTTGAACAAACTGTCACTTCTCATACACATTGTCTCACACTCACACACACTTACACAGAGGTTGGAGCTTGAGTTAAACAGTTTTTATGTTTCAGAGCTGAGAGAATATATTTTCAGTGGGCTGTTACAGTTTTTTCCAGTTGCTAACACACTAAAATGACACGCATAGCACAATAATTTAGAGTGACACACAGAGAGAAGAACCTCTTCTCAAGTCTCCAAAACTCTAAACACATTTTCTGCTTTACTTTACTTTTTAAATGCACTGAACACGGTTCTCTACATAACAACAATCTGACATAAAGGGTAAATATATCTGCTGTGCAGATGTTGCACGGACTTGTTTGGTGAAAAATAAAAAAATAAATGTTTCAACAGCATGTGTGTGTATCTGCAAATATTTCTGTGCATGTGAACAATCTGAAGAATTTTCTACAATTGGAACTATTTTAGTATTAAAGCAAACTAAAGATGAGAGTGCTTTTCATTCTGCCCAACAGTGTGTAGTTGGTTAGACAAACATCTGGTAATATGAATGAACTGTGTGCCATTTGGTGCAAAAACTTTATTTTGATAATGCTATATTAAATATATATTATATATTATATATGTAGTTTTGGTTGCAGTGCTTCATTTTACAGGATATATGAGGTATTTTGCAGTTTGGGTGTGTGGTTTTGTGAATTGTGTTAAGTATTTTGATAAAACCAGCCTAGTTTGCAAAATTGTGTTTTAGCAATTAGAAAAAACTGTAATAGGCAGATGTTCACAGTTTTTCTTGATTGTTTACACACATTTTCTGAAAGCATGCCTCATACTCTCAGAACTCTACACACAAATCAAAAGACACACACACACACACACACACACACACACACACACACACACAAACACACACAACCCCTCAGTTCTCCTGCAAAACGAAACTTTACATTCAAAACATTTCTTCTCAAAATTGTATTTTGTTTTCTAATGACACACAAACCATCCTATGAATAGACATTTATAAGAACCAGTTGAACACTGATGTGCTCAATGTAAAACACTGAATGGAAAACACTTCTTCTCCATTCATCATAATGACTTAGGCCTTTATTGTTCAGTGTTACACTTACTACAGACAGTACATACAGAAGTGTGCCGTAAAATATTTGAGAATATTGTTTTTATACTCAGAACACACAAATACACGATAACAAATATATTTTTCCCCCAGAAACAATGTACACAGTGTCCATCCCAACCAACAGTAAGTTGCACATACAGTGGTCTACATACACACAACAGAAGAATTTACTGGATACAGTTACAGTAAAACAAATGAATAAACTATGCTGCATCCTCTGTTCTGTTTGGGTCTGGCCACAGCACCTCATCCACATCACAAGCAATGTTTTCTCTGGCCAAGCAGCGGGGGAAATATCGCCTAGCATGGCGAATCCAGCCATGAAAAGCATCAACTGCTATATCTAACCCTAACCTGTTGCCCTTTATGCTAAAGCTCTGATTGCTCATTGTAACACTGTGTGACAGGTGTTTGCCCATGTGATGAGTCAGTGTGCATAGTAGGGCAATTAACTGAATGACAGTGTGTTCCTGGTGAAAACAAGATATTTTCTCCATGAACATTGTGCCAAATGCAGAGAATTGTGTGTAGTGTTTTGAAAAAAGTGTGTTTTAGAACTGCAATTTGAGTGTAAAGCAGGAATTGTGTTTGTAGTTTAGTAGAATTGGTTCAGGGGGTCGGTGCATGAGTTACATGTTGTGGTCATTGCGTCTCAAGTACCAGTAATTGTGTGTAAACAATTGAGAAAAACTGTAATCACATGAGAAAAAATGTGTGAAATACATGTTTGGCAGTGTGGCTACATCCGTAAACATCCTCCTCAATCAGTACTGAGCATGTGCAACTCTAACAGCAATGAGAAGGAAATGAGAGAACTCACCCATTACCTGCATACAATATATACTGTATAGTGTATGTATCACATTTATATATTTTGGGCCACTCGAAGGTTGCTTCTGGATTTCTGGGCCGCCAGTTGAATATGGTTTATGGTTAGGGTTGGGTCAGAATGATATAGACAGGTTAATATATTATGAAGGTCAATGTTCCAATGTTGCTTTCACTTCCATATAATTACTCTTTATACTCAATAAATCATTCTGACCTGCAGGTTTATAAAATCTATAAATTTAACGACAAAAGCAACAATCTACAGTAACAGACTCTGAGTTCACAACCTGCAAGTCCAATGCTTGAAGGAGAGACATGTGAGAGACATACATGTCAATGTGTTCATCCAATAATTGAGTAACAAGGTTTGAAACCAAATTTCCAATTCTTCTAGACCTTCTTTCTATGGAGTACTACAAGGTGGATGATGTGAGTCTGTTGGACAAAGCAATTCATAGTTGATGGAGATTTAAAACAAATGAGTTGAATTAATATTAATTTTATTTATTAATTTATTATTAAGTTTGTTGAACAGATTAATGCAACACCTCCACCTCCTGCTGGAAGCAACAGTTGGTAGAGTCAGGAAACACTGGACTATGTTTCACATAAAGCAACCATATACAGACAATGCAGAATCAAATCATTTATTAGACTTTAGTAGACAGTGATCTGATGTTTATGAAACCACATTGAGGGAGTTGTTGGGGCTGCAGGTCAATCTGCCCCCCACCACCTAAACCCACTGTATTAGACTTTATTTGCTCTGTGTCACTTACAGTACGATACAGTATCTAATAATATCTACTAATAACTACATTGCAGTGGACAGGAGGGGGGGTTACTGACTTTTCTTTCTTCCAGAGAAATAATAAACTGGTCCATCCTGAAGCTGCTGTGAAGCTGTTAACATGGCAAGGTCAGTAACATTTCTAACACAGTATCAATAAGGGATAATGTTTGAGGTGACTGACTGTAATTCAGCATCCTGAAGTTACTTTTGTGACGGCTGTAGTCATTCTCTGATAATATACAGGCAACTGCTTTGGGTTTAGTTTGCAGGGTTTGGGGGGTTAATTTAGAAATTACTTATTACCTGTTATAAAAAATGCAGTCAGTAACTTAATCAAAGTATTCATGAAACTGTAATTGATTACAATTACTTGTACACTTAAATATCATTTCTCTGACATTCACACGTCCTATTTTAATTAATTATCACTTTTAAAAGTTGGTTTGTTGGCGCAAATGTGGTTACTTTATGAAATAAGGTTTCTGTGTTTAAATGTTTGCCATGGTGTGTCCCTCTGTCTTATGACTACCTGAGCCAGGTCATGACAATTGGGGGCTCGTCTGAAAGGTTAGTTTGAGGGTTGTTTTGGTGCTGCTGTTAGTGGCGTTGGTGTTCGTGGTTGACCAAGCTGATGTTCTTTTTATTGGCTGTGTGTTTTGTTTGCCAGAGCAGCTTTAGTTTAGCTCATCATGTGTTTTGCTGCAGGAAGCATTTGGTTCTGACCTGGGTCGAATTGTTATACCGTTCAGAAAGTAGGTTTTACTGTTGTGATATTCTTTTGGACAGAGATTCCTCTGTTAGGCTGTAAGGCAATTTCCTCTATGGATTGTGACTGTGTGTTTCCTTCTCGTTGTGTGGAGAGAAAGTGGCCAGAGCTGCAGGTGGGTGGATTTGATGGTTGTTCTATGTCATTGCCTGTACATAATTCTTATTATTACAGTCGGTGCCATGCATTAGTACCCATCTCAAGAGAAGTGGATGAGCTTTAGCTAGCTAGGTAGGTAGTTAGGGTGATTCTCTGTCAAGGGTTGTCAATTATAACAACTATAGCGCAGTGTTAATTTGACAGCAAATTCTGATTTAGTCTTAGTCTTTTGAATAACACACCATTTCGTTTTAGTCATATTTTAGTCATCTGAAATCTTTTAGTCTTAGTCTAGTTTTAGTCGACTACAAATCATAAGAGTTTTAGTCTTAGTCTAGTTTTAGACCAAATATTAGCAGATTTTAGTCAACTAAATCTACAGTGGACTTAGTCGACTAAATGTTTCTCCAGAATTTCATGCCTTGCTACTTTGTGCAAAATCAACAAGATTTGAACAGAACAGATTAGTGCAATTCTCAAATGTACAATAAAAGATGTATTGGCTGTAATGCCATTGCACAAGCTACCAAAGACATACTCCTTAATGTTCAAGTAAATAAAAAAAAACCTGCTCTCTCAGCATTGAAAATACAGGTAAATATCACATTAAACTAAAAAGCACACAACTCTGTAAGCATCATCTTCTTCTTCATCATCTTTTACTCTCGCATTCTGTGCAAAATCAAAGACATTTGAAAAGAAAAACAAAACATATGTAAAAGAAAATATGCATTGGTTGTAATGTCATTGCACACAAAATGAAATATTCTTCTGTTAATAATTAAAAGAAGTATCAATGAGCTCAACTCAAGACAAGTGAATTACATGCTAAGCTGCAATGCCATTATTGCGTGGAACAAAAAAAATCTCTCTGCTCTCATATTAAACAAAAAACAAAACAAATACCAGATCTTTCAAGTTGTGCATATACTACTACTCACTCTTGTGAGGTCACCTGTGATGCTGAATACCCTCTCTGCAAAAGCTTGAGAAGCTGGCATAGCCAACAAGTCTAACGCAAAAGGTTTTAAACTGTGATTAAAAACTGTCACTCTTTTCCAGCCAGAAGTCTGTTCCTGTGTCCTCAGTGATGGGATGTGAAAGTTTTTCCTTGTACTTGATGATCTGCTGTCTGATGCTGGTTGTGGAGGTTTTCTGTTTAGGCCCTGGTGTGGCATTTTGAGAGGAACCTAAACACTGGCTGCTTTGACGATGGCGCTGCTTCTGGGTCCTCAATAACCTCTTCTTCTGCATCATCTTCAGACTGGTCCACCTGTTTTGTGTGTGGGAAAGTGCATTTAACCACATAGTCTTCTGCCTGTTTCAGCAGTTCCTGGATATTTCCATCAGCCACATCAACATTAACAAGGATTTCACAGACAGTTGGGTTGACAAAGCAGGCAGCTGCTGCAAGTGGTGATAACTTTTCATCGGTTGAATCCAAGAGGCAAGCAAAACGCTGGTTCAGATTTGATCTCATTTTCTCTGCAAGAGTGGCGAGGTCTCTGTACCGAGAGTTCTCTGCAAAGTCAGTTAGGTGGCTCAGCAGATCAAAGAGGGCAGGAACCACTAGGGACATAGATGTGGTGACTCTGGAGGGTTTTAGTGCGTTCCGCAAAAGGCAGCAGTAGGTCATGCAATGATGAAAGCTTTTGCCACTCACTAGTAAGCAAGCTGTCCCATCCCATGTCATTTGTGATTTGACAGACTGCATCTTTGACTGTGAGGAGTCGTGTGACCATGTTGAATGTGCTTGACCAGTGTGTGGGGCAGTCATTTACAACAATAACACCACACTGGTCCAATAACCTCTGTGTTGCAACTGAGGACTTGCGAAAGAGCTTCACCACAGACCTTGCTTTATCAAGGACTCTTTTGACAGTTGTCACTTTCTGCAACATGTGGACCACAAGTTGTATGGTATGCACCACGCACGGTGTCCGGTCCATTTCCATGTCGACATGATGGTACCTAATAACAAGAAGAAAAGACAATCAAATAAGTCTAAACCTAATAAAGTGGCTGGTGTGTGTCTGTATATACTGTATATATGTAGTGTGTGGCAGGGGGAAAATCATTCATGTGATAATTGACTGTGATGTAAAAGAATAAACTAAACATGGCTCACTGCTGGTCACCATGTTACTCCCATTGTCCGTTATTACCGTCAGGATCTTCTCCTTTGGTATGGCCCACTCTTGCATACATTTATCCACACATGCCTTAATAGACTGTGTAGTGTGTGGGTGAGCTACTTGTTCAAGGGCCAACCATATGTATACAGGTTTACTTTGTTTAACACAAAAGTAGCATGCGCTTATAGCAAGGAATGAGGCTGTCAGTCCTTTTTTTGTCCACAAGTCAAGGCCAATGGATACTCTCCGGGCAGCAGCCAGTCTCTCTTTGAATTTCTGTCATGTTCATACTGTGTTTCAATCAAATTGCTCATTTTAGTTTTCCTTGGAATTGTTAGTCTCCTATCTACTGTCTCCATCATTAGCACAAAGTCCTCGTCTTCAATTGTTGAGTGGTAAACCTGTGCGTCCAATCCATCTAGCTATGGCCTGCTCCTTGGTCTGTTGTTCCTTCGATTCAGTTTTGTACTTTGAAGAACTTAGGAAAGCTGTAGAGATGGCCTGCTGCTGGGTTGCACTAGAAGCACTAGCTTTATTTCCACTTGGCCCATGGTCATCTTTGTCATCAGACGTCTTCTGTATCTGTGAGGGTGAATAAAGGGGGAATCAAGTTGTGATTTTTTTCTTTCTTGCCCAATCTCCTCAGATCTCTCTCTCTCTCTCTCTCTGTCTCTCTCCCTCTCACACACACACACACACACACACACACACACACACACACACATTTGTCCAGTCATATACAACACCACAACATCTACTATAATAGTACACATTTAATTCAAGTTGAGGATATTGAATATTTATACTCATATTAATTCAGTGAGACAATCGTCTAATCAATACAGTTCAGAGGTGGTTTCCTTTAGCTTCTATTTATTCCAAGTTGAGCGGTAACACGGTGGTTTATCTGATAAAATAATAATGTATTTCTGGATGAGTGGTCTGTAAATGTCGCTTCAAGTTGGTGGTGTTTTTCCCAGCGATTTTTGCTCCACACGGTTTACAGACGGTCTTGTTGTCCTTGTTGACATATGTGAAATGTGACCAGATGTCAATTCTTTGTTTTCGACCTAGACCTAGCTCTGACATTTCTGTTCTTCATGAGACATTGCCCTCGGACCGAGTGCACTGCAGAACGTTAGCGTGTTGCTAACGAGCGAAGTCAACTGATGAGTTCTGATTGGGTCTCTTCTCCATTCGTCCCTCCCTAACATATTCGTCTCATTTTTATTCGTTGACTAAAGTGTCAGTTATATTGCGTCACAGTCTTCGTCATCATTTCTGACTTTTTATTTAGTATTTATTTAGTTTTCGTCCTTGAAAAAGGTTAATTGACGAATATTTTTCGTCATAGTCTTTGTCAACGAAATTAACACTGATTCTGAGCTCACAGTCAATGTTACTGTTTTACCCTTCAGACAGACTTCAGGTCGGAAGAGGAGGTTCCGTGAGGAGGAAGAGGAGGACAGTGTAGACTCAGGATTCAGCTCTCTGTCTACACAGAGTGACCAGTCCATAGGGGAACCTCCATTCTTCAGGTATGAACCCTCAGATAAAGAGTAGGTAAACTGCTACTAAAGAACCGTCCACACAGAGAACGATAACTATAACAAGTACCCATACTGTGTGTGTGTGTGTGTGTGTGTGTGTGTGTGTGTGTGTGTGTGTGTGGGAGCTCCCGAACAGACTTGTGTCCTGATTCTTGTCCTCTGAGCTCACAGTCAGTGTTACTGTTTTACCCTTCAGACTGACTTCAGGCCGGAAGAGGAGGTTTCTTGAGGAGGAAGAGGAGGACAGAGCAGACTCTTCAATATCCAAAGGGGAACCTCCATTCTTCAGTAATGAACCCTCAGACACAGAGTAGGTGAACTGTTACTAAAGAGCCGTCCACACAGAGAACAATATCTATAACAACTAGAATGACTCATTTATTAATAGAACAGCAGGATATTCAGACTGTAGCTAATGATTATTTTCATTATAGATTCATCTGCTGATTATTTTCAGATTGATTAAATTAAACTCCTGAAATATCATCAGTTTAAAGTGACACCTGTACAGTGTTTCTTTAGTCCAAACCTCAAAATGATTACAAACCAACCAGGTAAAATAGTTTGTGTCTGATGGATTAATTTAGAATAAACAGCTGCATCAGAGGAGTCTGGTTATAATCTTCATTAACAGGAATTAATGGCAGATATTCATAATGCAGAATTCTTGGTGTCTGTGGTATAAAGACACTGAACTGCTTTACTGTGGGACTAAAAGGGTTTTATTAAGACAGCAAGTAGGGTGATTTTATGTATTTCATTCTATGTTCAGTGAGTTTTGAACTTGTGTCTTTACTTTTCTACAGGAACAGCTCGTCCAAATATAATGACATCATCTCTGAAAGTGTTCTGATCCAATCAGGATCTCCCGCTGTCTACCAGCTGAAACCAAAGAAAGAGAAGATTGGAACTCTAACAAGAATGACTCTTGGTGAAAAAAATCTGAACAAGACAAACAGAACCATTTTACTTGTTGGTGAAACAGGAGCAGGAAAATCTACTCTGATCAACGCTCTGGTCAACTACACCATGGGAGTGAAGTGGGAGGACAATGTCTGGTTTCAGATCGTAGAGGACGAGCAGAGAAGGCAGTCAGAGAGTCAGACATCAGATGTGATCGTTTATCAGATCTTTGGTTTTGAAGATGAAACTCTGCCCTACTCTCTGACCATCATCGATACTCCTGGATACGGAGATACCAGAGGGATTGAACAAGATGAAACAGTCAGACAAAGATTATTCGACTTGTTCCGCTCAGAGGACGGAGTCCATGAGATCAATGCAGTGGGTCTGGTGCTGAAAGCAACTGAGAATCAACTCAGTGACAGAGTGAGGTACATCTTTGATTCAGTGATGTCTCTGTTTGGAAAAAACATGGAGAAGAACATTGTTGCCCTCATCACTCACTCAGATGGTCTGACACCTGAAAGTGCTCTAAAAGCTCTAGAAGATGCAAACATTAAATGTGCCAAGAACGAGGAGAATGAGTCGGTTTATTTCCTGTTCAACAACCACCAGAACAAACAGAAAACAAAGAGAATCACAGCTGCTTTAAAAAGTGCATGGAGCTTAACAACAGTAGGTATGAGTCAATTCACTGACTTCCTGAAAGAAACTGAACCTCAGAAGCTGATGACAACTGTTGAAGTGTTGAATTCACGAATCAGACTCAAAGCCTGCATCCAAAACCTGAAAGAGAGAGTTGAGTTTATTGAAGTAAAACAGAAAGAAATCCAACAGACTGAGGAAGCTCTGAAGAAATATGAACAAGAGATGAAGAACAATGAGAAGTTCACTGTAGAAGTTGATGAGGTCTACAAAAATAAACAATCTATTGATGGTGGGGGGTGGTTGTTTTATGAAGGAGCTGTCTGCTGTAAAGTCTGTGAAGAGAACTGTCACTATCCTGGATGTACAATGACCTGGAGTCCAGCACGCTGTGTGGTCATGATAGATGGCCGCTGCACTTCATGTACCAAGAAGTGTCCTGTATCAGCTCATGTGAAAGAAAAGTGGATCTATGTGAACAAGACAAGAAAAGTTCAGAAGATCTTAGAAGAAGTGAAAGAGAAGTATGAAAAGAACAAGACAGAAAGTGAGAGCAGGTTGAGCATTTTGGGAAATCTAAAGAAGAAAACAGAAGAACTTCAGAAAGATAAAGATCAGTGGTTGGAAGAGTCCTTCCAGCATGTTCTCACACTGGAGCAGATCGCCCTGAATACTGATTCACTGTCCACTCTTGTCCACTTGGACTTCCTGATTGAGAAGATGAAGGAGAAAGGAGACACAGAGAAGGTCCAGAAACTGGAAGAGATGAAAAGACGAGTGGATAAAGATAAATGAGTCCGGGCAGCGTTGAGTTACGGGTTCAGTAAACTAACAGCATCTGGTAAAGAGCTGATGAAGTAAGTTCCAGCGTCATTGTGAGCTCTCAGTATCAACGACTGGGACATAGCTAACAGTTCTGCCTTTACATGGAGTGAGGACGCCCCCTGGTGGTTAATGTGGGGTACAACAGCTCCCTCCCAATAACACGTGCAGTGAACTCATGAACATCCTGTTGTTGGCTCCAGTTAATGTGTGTTATCTCAAAGTGCTCCAAGAACTGAGGACAGACTGCCTCTCCTCACTCACATCTGTGTAATGCTGATGATGGCTCTCGCTTGCAACCAATAAAGATCCACTGAGAATCTGAACATTGTGTCAGCTGCTAGTTTTCACTTTACACCACATTTTCTTTACTTTCTCTGAGTATTTAAGCTTTTTCTAAAGTGCTTTTCAGTCAGTACGAGGTTGAGATTTATTGTTGAAGTCTCAGTAAACGTCTCACTGCTATATAATATATAGAGAGTAACACTTTATCAGGGTTGGAGGATTACTTTAATGTAATCTGATACAGTTACTGATTACCTGTTAAAAATGTCAGGAACTTAATCCAAGTATAATGTCCTGTACTTTATCCACTACTGGCTGCTAACTGGGCTAATTGTTTCTAACATACGCTCATAATACCGATGTTCAGTCTTTACCAATACTTTGCAGATTAGAACCTTTATTTTTACTTGTCCTCTTTAGTCCATTGATCACTTCCATTAAGTAACTCATAACAATAAAACTACATATCCCAACGTAGTCTGAGCACAGTGAAAATTCGAAGGAAGGAAGGAACAGAACCAGAGACAGGGTCATGGGCGGCCGAGGCTCATTGATGCAGGTGGGGAGTGAAGGCTGGCCCGTGTGGTCCGATCCAACAGACGAGCTACTGTAGCTCAAACTGCTGAAACAGTTAATGCTGGTTCTGATAGAAAGGGGTCAGAACACACAGTGCATCACTATGATGGTCGCCCTAGCAGCCACACACTGAGGAAAGCACATTGTGGTAACTCTTTCATTTGTTTGATTAGGTTCAGAACATTAGACACAATACACAATAAATAACTGGACACAGATTTTAGATTCATAATACAGTTTTATTATCCATTTTTTAACAACGGATTGTCTTTTTGGGGTGCACACAATAAGTTAACTTCCTCTCATTGTACGTCACTTTTGGGTAGCATTATTACGTTAATTAATTTCCATTATTTTTCATTGCATTTTATTTCTTTCCGACAAAGGAAGTGCGGCTGAATGAGAGATGCTTAAAAGGGGTTGGGCAGAGAAGTGGGCTGCACCATGTTGGCCAGAATCATGGGGAGAGGCAGTGCTTTCTCCTTGAGTTTAGTTATTTCTGATTATTATGCTTTTTGATGCTTAGCATTTCATTATTTTCCTTAGTTAATATTGACCTGTGTTATCTGGATATTATTGGAGGTTATTATAGTCTGTTTAACTGTTATGTTTTAATCTATCCCCCTGTGTGTCAGAGTGATCAGCCACTATTTAAGTTTCCCCAATATCACAGTGGAGTTAGTTAGGTTGGTTGGCTTAGTATGTTCAGTTAATGTAGCCTGAGTTCATTTCTGTTTAGTTGACCTCTTTTATGGGCCCAGAACATTATTGTATATTTTGTAAATTGATTCTTTTCAATTCAATTCAATTTTCTTTTGTAAAAGTTTACCTTTGACTCCTCATACCTGCCAGCAATCACAGTCTGATGGTCTGGGACCAGTCAGGGAGCCCAGGTTGTCATAATTATATATTTAACAGTGTATATATTTTAATAATTCTATACTAAAATATAGTGTAAAATTACCCACAATGCAATATAAATTAGTATTTTACTATAATGAAGAAATGTGCTATTGTACAGTAAGTTTTTACAGGCTGTGTTTCTCAATCTACAGCAAAGCGTGTAGTCGAACTAAATCACTTAACTTACTGTTTAATATCATAACCAACAGGCTTTTATGAAATGACACATTCAAACAAGAAGAGGCAGACGTGTGACTTCTCCACAGCGCTGCACTGCCACCTACTGTCCATAGGTGAAAGCACACTTTCAGTGCAGCTCCTTCAGTTGAAAGGTTCAAGTTTACCAAAATAAAAGAAACTAAACCCACCAAGAAATGTGACCATACATTTTGTGCATCACACAAACGTACTGCGTCATGTGTGCACAATTTAATTTAATAAGATAAGATCTCTGATCTCTGGACAACAATTTATATTTATTCCTATATTATTGTTTTCGTTCTCCACTATTGCTTCTTCTTGTGTGAGTAAAAACATATGTCCTTTGTAATAAATAAAAATATTATAAGTTAAAATCAAACACATCTTTTTTTTTTTGCTTGTATTGCCTTCATTTGATAGGACAGCTAAAGACAGACAGGAGGGGGGGGGGGGCAGAGAGAGAGAGAGGGGATGACACGCAGCAAAGGGCCGCAGGTCGGATTTGAGCCCTGGGCCGCTGCAGCAAGGACTCGGTACATGGGTCGCCAGTTCTACTGACTGAACTAACCGGGCGCCCTTCAAACACATCTTTAATTGTGAAGTTCACTCTGTGTTTATTTTATACCAGAAGCCTTAGCACTATAAAACACAGTTAGTTATATATAACTATATATAGTTATAAGTTATATTAAATAAACTCTTTTATATTATTAACTCACAAATTCAGCAAATCAAATTCAGTGCTTTGAATACATCAGAGGTATTTCTAAAGTTTACTGTATTTGTTCACATGAGCTAGTTAATGACTTTGTATTCACTCACACTGAATCTTCTCTTTCAGTCTGATCTGACTCTGCTGATTAAGTATTAAATCTTATTTTATTTGACCTCTGTGTTATTTACAGTAGTTGATTATTAAGAGAACAGATGGTGTTTGTGTTTCTCTGCTGCCAGTGTTATTTCATTAATTTATTTGAAACAGTGGCAGGGGACAATATGTATTGCACCAGTTATAGCACAATGCTAAGGCTGTTGAGTCTGATTGACCTCCATCTTGTTGGAGGTGTTGGGTCATCCTCGATGACAGACCACAAACCGTCACAAAGAGTGGGCACTGTAACATCCAACCATCACCAACACCGAGTCTCTTCCTGTTTACCCTGTATACCAATGACCGTACCAGCCCCTCACCCCTCCCCCACATACATCAGATACACGACTGTCATCCTCGCTCTCCTTAATGACAATAACTCTGTTCTAAGCTATCTAAACTCCATCTCCAACATCACACAGTGGTTCACAGACAACTGTCACAAAAGCAAAAAAATGTTGATTAACACCTCCAGTACCCACAGCACAGACCCCATCTCTACCCACAATCCCAACACCTGCAGTTATATCTATCAATCAAGCCCAATGAAATTAATCAATTATCTAAATTACAAACATGTCTTAAGGACATAAAATCCTGGATGAGCTGCAATTTTCTGATGTTAAACTCAGAAAAAAACTAAATTCTTGTTCTTGGCCCCAAAAACCTTAGAGACTCACTGTCTAAAGATATAGTTACTCTAGATGGCATTAACTTGGCCTCTAGCACCACTGTCAGGAATCTTGGAGTTATCTTTGATCAGGATTTGTCATTTAACTCCCACATGAAGCAGACCTCTAGGACTGCCTTCTTTCATTTACGTAATATTAGAAAAATTAGACACATACTATCACAGACAGATGCAGAAAAACTAATCCATGCATTTGTTACTTCAAGGCTGGATTACTGCAACTCTTTATTATCAGGTTGCCCCAATAAGTCCATTAAAACGCTCCAATTAATTCAGAACGCTGCAGCACGAGTACTGACAGGAACTAGAAAGAGATCACATCTCTCCTGTACTAGCTTCTCTGCATTGGCTCCCTGTAAAATGTAGAATAGAATTTAAAATCCTCCTCCTCACCTATAAAGCTCTTCATGGTCAGGCCCTTCATATCTTAAAGAGCTCATAGTACCCTATTACCCCTCTAGAACACTACGTTCTCTGAATGCTGGGCTACTTGTGGTTCCTATAGTCTCTAAAAGTAGAACAGGAGCCAGAGCCTTCAGTTACCAAGCTCCTCTCCTGTGGAACCAGCTTCCAGTTGTGGTTCGGGAGGCAGACACCCTCACCACATTCAAGAGTAGGCTTAAGACATTCCTCTTTGATAAAGCTTATAGTTAGGACTGGATCAGGTGAGTCCTGAACCATCCCTTAGTTATGCTGCTATAGGCCTAGACTATCGGGGGATTTCCCATGGTGCACTGAGCTCCTCCCTCTCTCTCTCTTTCTGCACTCATTCATGTCCCTTTAATGCATGTTACTAACTCCACTTCTTCCCCGGAGTTCTTGTGCTTTCTCATCTCGCAGGTTCTCATGGATCCTGGTGGAGCCTCCTGCCATGGTCCTACTTGACTGCCATTGCCAATACTGTTGTTGCTGTGCACCTGTCTGTCTGTCTGTCTGTCTCTCGCTCTCTCTCTCTCTGCCTCTCTGCCTCTCTCTCTCTCTCTCTCTCTCTCTCTCTCTCTCTCTCTCACCCCAACTGGTCGAGACAGACGACCACCCACCTAGAGCCGAAGGATCTGTCCTAGGTTTCTGCCTTTTAACAGGCAGTTTTTCCTTGCCCTTGTCTCCAAGGTCTTGCTCATGGTGGTACTGTTGGGTCTCTGTAATTAATGTTAAAGAGTTCGGTCTAGACCTGCTCTATTTGAAAAGTGTCCTGAGATAACTTCTGTTATGAATTGGCGCTATACAAATAAAATTGAATTGAATTGAATACCCCAAACTACACCATTTTGAATTTTATTATCACTTTCGGCAAACTTTTCGCGTTGTATTTAAACGAACTCCTCCTAGGGAATTCATTGGATCTGCTTCAAAATTGGTCAGTACATGTTGCTAAGTAAAAGCTGTGCTATTTGTGCATGTACATTGAAGGGCGTGTCCTTGGTGTGCCGTCATTCGTTGGCCGTCCGTGCTCATTTTCAGTGAATTTTTCGCCTTGTATTTGAACTCCTCCTAGGGAATTTATCGGATCTACTTAAAAACACGTGCCAGAGCCAGGCACACTCAAGATTTCTTTAGAAATGTTCTAGTTGTATTTTGTGGCTCTTCTACAATAGGTTTAGATGTTTTAATGTTCAAAAAACACATAATTTTTCTCATACTGCCTACAGCTGAGCTCCTCTTTTCAGCCTCTGTCTGAATCGCTAGGTTTTAGCTCCTGTCTCTTTAAGACCCCCCTCCCGAAAAGCCCAGTCTGATCTGATTGGTCGGCATTATGATGCGGCTCACGCGGATGACGCGGCCAGAGCCCGTCTACGGTG